AGTCAGTCAGCAAAGGACCTAAGGTGAGCCCATAGGGCTCTTGCCGATGGTGAAAGGAGAGGCCTCTCTCTTGAATGAGAACAAGGAAGGAGGTAGCCCCAGGAAGCCACTGGCTGGTGCTCATATCACTACTGTGGGCAAAATAAAACTCAGAATAAAGGGGACAAATCTAATATGCAGAGGGAAGCAGAAGCAAATGGAAAATCACAGAGAAACTGAACCTGAGGCCTGATCAAACCTAACCTGAAGGCTGGCCTGCCTATGACCTCTTTAGTTACTTGAGCCAAAACTCCCTGTATGGTTTAAGCCATTCGTTTTTGGTTTTTTTTTTTTTTCCTGTTCCTTGCAACCAGTAGAATGTAAGCTCTGAGAAAGCAAGTGAACTATCTGTCTTCCTTGCCCTGTGCCTAGAATAGCACCTCACATGGTAAGTGCTCAATATTTACTGAATGAATGAATATGCTGAAACAACATGGGTTCCAGGAACTTATCATGTCTAAAAGCAGGAACATGAATCTCTATAAAATCTCTAAGAAACATTGTTCCTGCCCTCAAGATGCTTCCAGGGTAATCATCAATGTGTGTGTAAGTCAGGGATTGGCAAACTATGGCCCGTGGGCCAAATCCAGCCTACTACCTGTTTTTATGATGAATAAAGCTTTATTGATACATGGTCATGCCCTTTTGATTGCCTGTTGTCTATGGCTGCTCTTGAGCTACAAGGACAGAGTTGGGTAATGCAAGAGACCACACGGCCCATAAAGGCTTAAAATAGGTATTATATGGCCATTGACAGAGAAGTTTGCCAATGCCTGGTATAAGAAATTTTGAAGTCATCCTTGAGAATGGTGCTTTTTCCATCAGTCTGTGACAAATTGTTTAATGGCCACAAATGCCTCCCATCCCAGCACGTAGACTTCTTTGTAATATGATTTTGTTACTCCCCACCTTCAGAGGTGACATCTTTCTCCATCCAGGGAACTATTTGAGATCCCTGCTCAATCATTTCTTCCACAGAGAAGCCCTCACTGACCCCCTACCCAAATAAGACAGCCCCATAAAACATTCTCATAGCCCCGTGGAACTTTCCATCAAGCTACTTATCTCTATTTGTAAGTGTCCATTCAGTATATAATGAGTAATATCTGTCTCCCCACTGGACTGTAAACTCCATGAGGGCAGGAACCACATCTGGTTTTGTTCTCTGATGGAATCCCAGCACATAGCAGGTCCTCAATATTGTTTATTGACTGAAGAAGCAATTAATTCTTCCAGGAATAAGTTTATCCCATTTTGCTTAGAAATCCCTAAAGGTCTGAGGGAAGCAATACAAGTCTGTGACAAGCGACGAGATGTAGCAGATAAGGGCCCTCAGCACAGTGCCACCATGTATACGGCATTAGCAAATGGGACTCATTTGTTCTGCCATTTTTATTGTTAAGGTAATGATGATGATGGTGCTGGTGGTGATGATGATGCTGGTGGTGTTAGTGGTAATGATTGTGATGGTGATGACAGTGATAGTAATGGTGAGTATGATGATGGTAATTTGATGGTGATGGTGATGGTCGTGATGGTGAAGATGATGATGGTGATGGTAATGGTGATGGTGATGGTGAAGATGATGATGGTGATGGTGAAGATGGTGATGGTGATGGTGAAGATGTTGATGGTGATGGTGAAGATGATGATGGTGATGGTGATGATGGTGATGGTGAAGATGATGATGGTGATGGTAATGATGATGGTGATGGTGAAGATGATGATGGTG